TTGCTTTAATATATTGTGTGATTAATAGCAGAGCTATGCTGCTGTGCTGGAAGAAACATCTACCTGGGTTCAGTTCCAAGTGGGGAGAAAGACACTGGAAACATGGAGGCTGATTGGAAAGATGGTTTATTGGTGGACAGGACCACATGGGTTTGAGGTCCTGGCCAGCTGAACACATGGAGTTGAAAGAGAGCGGTATTTATACCCTTTCTTGGGCCTTGCCCTTGAGCTTCCTGTTCCTGTGGCAAGAGCATGTATTCTATTGGCTGTTGTCAGACTCCCATGGGGCCATGTAGGGGGCATAGCTGAGGTCTGAGATAAGTTTGGTTGAACTTTGCTGTGTGATGTAATGTCTCCAGGTGATTTTGCAATGCAGTGAGCCCTGCTGCTAGATGGGTAGAGGCAGGGGTGGGCCTCAAATTTTTTAACAGGGCGCGTTCTGCCTTAATGACTGGCTGGGTGGGCGTGGCTGAGTGGTCATGTGATTGGGTGGTCATATGACCGGGTGGACATGGGTAGGTGGTCATGTGACTGGGTGGGTGTGGCCAACTCAACGTCGCTTCTTTGCCCTAATTACATAAAAAAAGGTATATACCAAAAAGTTGCTTGTTTCATGCATTTAATACTTAAATAAAAGATTGGGTGAAACCAGGCTTAATAGCAGTGACTGTGAGAGGGATCTTGGAGTCTTAGAGGAGTTTCTGGTGAGTTACGTGATTCTTATTATTTGGGAATCCCCTCAGAGCCGTGGTGGGATTCAAATTTTTTACTACCAGTTCTGTGGGCATGTCTTGGTGGGCATAGCAGGGGAAGGATACTGTAAAATCTCCAATCAGAGGTGGTATTTGCCAGTTCTCTGAACTACTCCAAATTTCCGCTACTGATTCTCCAGAACTGGTCAGAACCTCTGCCTCAGAGGCTAGTGGCTATGTTATCTGATTTTCTCAATGGCTCTCCCTTGCACTGAGTAGATTGTTTATCTAGCTTGCAACACTTTTACCAGATGTGAAATGTTCTTGGCTGAATGCCCCAGAAGTTCAATTAAGCTTATTAAGAGCTCTCCCTTGCTGCTTGTCTTTATGAGGTTATTAGGGGCTCTCCAAGCCCCTCAGAGTGTTAGCTAGGGGCTCTCCTGAGCCCCTACGAGCCCCCAGCAGCCCACCCCTGGGTAGAGGGCTAATCCTATTATGTCCTGAAGGTCATGTCTTAATCCCATCACTCTGGAGCTGAAGTTCTAATTGTCTTGTAGATAGGCTGTCCCAATCTTAATGTGCATCAAATATCTTCTGGGGGCTGGGAGCTCCTCTTTGTCCTTAAAAACATGTTTCTCCTTTTCTCACCAAGGGAAATATAATATTCTGCCTTTTTAATAATTCCTAGAATAATTCATTTTTCTAGGAGATGGGTGGGTGCTAAATTTCTACAGCTGTTATTCTATGAGATCTTTTAATTTTGAGTATCTGATTGATTTCTCAGCCAAGATAGATGAAGTAGTTTGTAGTGACTCTACAATTATAAACACCAACTCGGACAACCCCCTATAAGTTAGAGAAACAAACTATGAAAAAGTCTTGGTCCCAAGTGGAATACCACACCACACCAAATATTTGTAGATGTCATCATTTTGGTATTCAATGCTATTCAGATAAGTGTTAACAACAAAGTGAACAATGAAAATAATGTTAAACAATAGTTTATAAAACACCATCATGTTTGAAACTAACCAGTTAAACCTTAGCCAACAATTAACCAAATGTATCCATGAGATCAAAATCTGCTTTGATTTTTGTGAATTCCACTCCCAGGAACTGATGCAAAAAAAAAAAAAAGACACAAAACATATTCAACCAAAAGATGCTCCCTGAAAACAGAGGGCAAAAATTCTTGGTTTCCTTTGCTGATTTATGTCCTTGTCCCTACCACACACTAGTTTTTGGACCTGTACATTATATGTCATAGGCTGGATCTTTGATTCGCAACTGTGTTCTATGAATATTTTGGATGGATATGTTGGTTAAATCCAACAATGGGTAAAAATGGACGCGGGAGGGTCCTTGGTGCTCTTTTGAACTTGGTTGTTTTCTTGCCAACGTTTCCTTACCCAAACTAGGTATCAACATCAGTGCTAGTGAGGAGTGGGGTTTGCTCTCAGTTTATATTCTAAGTGGCTTGCTCTGGATTGGTTTTAGAAGTCCTTTGGTTGGACTATTTACAATTTGGCAGTTCCTTGATTAGGGTATTATTGTTTACTTGATTGTTGTTTAACAGATTAAAAGATAATCAGAGTTGGAAGGGACCTTATAGGTCATCTAGTCCGGCGGTCACCAACCGGTGGGCCGTGAGAAAATTTTGATGGGCCGCAGAGAAATCTCACCCCCAGAGCACCCCCCCCCAAAGCAATTAATCCAGGCTGCGCAGAAACACAAGGCTGCGCCGCCCACATGGCCTGCGGGAACCCTCCCTGCCCACTCACTCCTTACCCGGCAAACTTGCCTGCTAAATTGCTATTTTTCCTTTTTCCAACCATCAGCTGTTCTGCTGTGCCAGGAGATTTAGATTAGCTAGGAAGCAGGAAATGGTTGGATTTCTTGCTTTCTAGCTAGTCTTTAGATCTTCGGCTCAGCACAGCCGAACCTCCCTTAGGACTGAAGGTTTGCTTGCAAGCAAATTCAGTGCAGACTCACGGCAAGCAAACTTGAGACTGAGCTAGCCGATGGCAGCTAGATAGATCACTGAATGATTCTGTGAGCAACTCAATCTGCCTGCTTTGCCTGATTTTGGGTAAAAGTTGCTCCTTTTTTTAAAAAAAAATCAATATTTACATGCATGGTATATTGTGAGTTAATTTTGTGAGTTTGCTTGCAAACAAATTTTATGTGACAGAGTGAGCTAGCCAATGGCAGATAGATAGATCTCTGAATGAATCTGTGATTATGTGAGCAACTCAATCTGCCTGCCTGCTTTGCCTGGTTTTGGGTAAAAGTTGCTTTTTTATTATAAAAAATTCAATATTTATATAAATATTTGTAATATTTACATACAAGCCATGCCCAGCCAGTCACATGACCATCAAGCCACACCCACAAATTAGGCCACGCCCACAGAAATGGTAAGTGGTCCCTGGGATCTTAAATTATGAGTTTGGTGGTCCCTGAGGTCCAAAAGGTTGCCGACCCGTGATCTAGTCCAAACCCCTGCCCAAGTGGGAGACCATACACTATTTCTGACAAATGGCGGTCCAATCTCTTGAAGGTCTCAAGTGATGGCGCTCCCACAACTTCCGAGGGCAACTTCTTTTCCATTGGTTGATTGTTCTCACTGTCAGAAAGCTTCTCCTTGTTTCCAGGTTGAATCTCTCCTTGTTCAGTTTCCATCCATTATTCTTTGTCTGGCCTTTGGATGCTTTGGAGAATAGCTTGACCTCTTCCTCCTCTCTGTGGCAGCCCCTCAAATATTGGAAGACTGCTCCCCTGTCTCCCCTAGTCCTTCTCTTTACTAGACTAGCCAAGCCCAGTTCCTGCAACCATTCATCGTATGTTTTAGCCTCCAGTCCCCTAATCATCCTGGTTGTTCTTTTCTGCACTTTTTCTAGAGTCTCAACATCTTTTTTATAATGTGGTGAACTAAACTGGATGCAGTTGTTCAGATGGTAATCTTGGAATTAATCTATGCAAAAGAGATAATCAATAAGCCAATAAGGGAATAAAAGGATCAAAACACACCCCCACCAGCACTCAGCACTCTGATGAACATAGATTAAGTTGAAGATTAACACCAGACCAACAATCAAAGAAACAATAACCCAATCAAGGTATCAAGTCAGACAAACAAGCTAACAGTAAACTGACCAAAGAAAGACTCTCTCACCAACACTGACAAGGCAAGCCACCAATTGAAAGCAAAACCCACTCCTTACTAGCACTTCTCACCCTCCTGCACATGCTCCCCCCCCCATGCTCTCCCCCCCCACATGCGTGCGTGTCCTCCCTGTGCTGTTTTGGGCCTAGTAGGCCTCCCTGCAGCCACCTGGAAGCAAAAACGGGGTGGGGTGTGTGGCGCAGCTCTCCGCGGCCAATTTTTGCTCCAGGAGGCTGCAGGGAGGCCTACTAGGTCCAAAACGGAGAGCGTGGGGGGGCATGCCACACACCCCCATGCTCCCCCACCCCCCCCCCCCCCCCCGTATGGACATGTGTCTCCCGCATGCGCAGCAGACCCGAAAATGAGCTGCCCGGTGGGAAGCAAGCACACATGCACAGTGGAGCAGACCTGGGGTGATGGCTAGTGTGCCCACAGAAAGGGCTCTGGGTAACACCTGTGGCACGTATGCCATAGGTTTGCCATCACGGCCCTACTAACTTAACTGAAGTGATCCATTTAACAACTGTAGCAAGAAAAGTCATAAAACGTGACAAAATTCACTTAACAACTGAAATTTTGGGCTATCTCTACCGTTCTGTCTTCCATCTATCAATCATTATCCTCTCTCTCTCTCTCTCTAGATATATAGATATAAATATATAAAATCTATCATCTATCATTTTTTATGTATCTATCATCTATATCTTCCATCTATCAATCATTATCTTCTCTCTCTGTCTCTCTATATTTATATCTATGCATCTCTCATGTTCTATATCTATCTTCCATCTATCAATCATTATCATTATCATCTACCATCTATCATTATCATCTCTATATATATATGTATTATTTATCATCTATCATTTTTCTATCTTATCTATTATTTCTCTCTCTCTCTTTTATCTCTCTTGTTCTCAATTATGGTCGTAAGTCGAGGATTACCTGTATTAACTGGGTTTATCCCTGTTTAGCATCCAGTCCCAAAAACCACACTTTAAGTTTTTTCAAAACATGGCATGAGGCGAGCATGTCAATAGCGCCTTAACATCCATCTGAAACTGCTTCACGCAAACAACATAAGCCATGTTACAAATGCACCATCCAATTTTAAATTTTATTTTATTTTTTTTAAACTTCAGTCCATATGAACTTCTCTAAAGCAAAAAAAAAATATCAATATAAAATTGAGTGTGTATCTAATATCAACGCGTCCCTTGAAGCCAGTTACAGGAAACCCTAGTTCATTCCAACTATGTAAAACTTTTCATCAGCTACAAATCACGTTACCATATCAAAACGGTGTCTTATCAAGTCCAAATTACAAAAATAATAAAAATGGGGGGGTGTGGAAGGTGGGGTGGAAACAGTGTGAAATATTTTGCACTACAGGATCTGTCTTTTTTTAAGTTTCCATTTCTCCTTGGTCAAAAGCTGATGCGTCATCATTATCATCCCCTCACACACACAAAACTGGAAAACTCTTCTTCGCCTATTCCAATAACCCTGAGTATATAGTGCAATATAGTACAAAGGTCAGATTCATCCCAGTCACAGGAAAAGAAGAAGGGGGAAGATAAGAAGGGGGAAAAAAGCAACCATCCTGGATTGGCATTTTTATTGCTGCTGGGCAAGCAAAAATTCTTTGGAAGAAAGAGAAAGTTAACGGTGCTTCTTGGAAAAGCGAGGTAGCCCAGTGGGAAAGACAGAAAGAAAGAAAGGGAGGGAGGGAAGGAAGGAAAGAGAAAGAAAGGGAGGAAAAAAAGGGAGGGAAGGAAAGAAAGGAGGGAAGGGAAGAAAGGAGGGAAGGGAAGAAAGGAGGGAAGGAAGGAAGGAAGGAAAGGAAGAAAGGAAAGAAAAGAAAGAGTCAAAGGCTTCCAGCAACTTGACCTTCTTTCCTTTTCTCTTCCCCCTCCATGCGTTCCAGACGAGCCGAATCCCAGTTTTTTTTTTCCTGGCTCGAAACAAACCACGATGAGGGAGGGAGGGGGAGGCCAATCCATATCTTGGCCATTTTAAAGTGCAGCGCCCGGCGTGTATTTAAAATAATAATAATAATAATGGAAAATTAAAAAAAACGACCCCGCCGTCCAGGCGCCCCCCCCCCCGCCCCCCCAAAACACAGGGGACTGTAAACAAGGCGGCCGGACACGGGTCTCCAAAGTTCTTCTGAAGGAGGGGGTCTCCCTGGGCAGACGAGACGAGATCCTCTGCTGTCTCTTTGTCAACGGCAGGTGGGTCCCAGCGGGATCCGGCGCAACCTCACCACGGGCGCCAGGTCGACCCGCAAGAGGCGTTGCGCGCGGCGCCGGGCGGCTTCCAAGGTGCGCCGCTTCCAGATGTCGCCGCGCACCTTGACCGGAGGAGGGAAGGCGGCCAGGATCGGAGGAAGCGGATCGGGAAGCGGCTCCGGGCTGCTGCCCTGCGAAGGAGTCCATCGGGCCGGGGCCCAGAGCATCGGGTCGCGCCCGTCGTGGCTGCTGCGCTGCTTCTTGGCCGCTCGCTTGGCGCTGCTTCCTCCTCCACCCCGGCGGCTCTTGGCGTCGCTCGGCGGGCGCTTCCCCTGGTTGGCGGCGGTTCCTCCTCCTCCTCCTCCTCTCCGGCTGCTGCTTCTGCTGCTGCTGCCCGCCCGGCCCTCCTCCTCTTTCTCCCCGTCCTCCTTCTCCTGCGCCCAAGCCCCGGGAAGATCCGGCACGACGGCCCGGCACGAGGCGTAGCCGTAGACGTCCTTGCTGCGGAGGATGACCGGCGAAAACTCGTGCCGCAGGCTGCAGAGGAAGTCCCACAGCTCGGCCTCCGAGCTCATGAAGGCCGTCGAGCGGGGCACCAGCAGCTTCAAGGCGTCGCCCAGAGCTTGGGTGCCGCTGCTGCTGCAGAAGAGCACCTGCGAGCGGGAGTGCACCACTTTCTCCCCTGCCGGGCAGGAGGCAGAGGCGGCGGTGGCGGAGGAGATCGGCGCCAACTCGGCCGCCTTCCCTCCTCCTCCTCCTGCTTCGGCCGCGGGGGCGCCTCGAGTCCCCGCCGGCTTCATCTTCGCTCTAGCGCCACGGCGGCGGCGGCGGCGGCTGCTGCTTCTGCTGGCTGCCGTCCTCTCCAGCGCCGCCAGCGGCCGCCCAGCAGCTCCAGCAATATCAGCTCTCCTCCTCCTCTCTCTCTCCTCCTCCTTTTTTTTTTCCTCCTCCTCCTCTCCTTCTCCTTCCTCCTTTTCCTCCTCTCCCTTCTCCTTTTCTCCTTCCTCCTCCTCTTCTTTTTCTTCCTCCTTCTCTTTTTTCCTCCTCCTTTTTTTCTCCTTTTTTCTCCTCCTTTTCTTTCTCCACCTCTTCTCCTTTCTCCTCCTCTTCTTCTTCCTCCTTCTCTTCTTCTTCCTCCTCCTCCTCCTCCCTGGCGAAAGTCACTCTCTTTTCCCCTTTCGCTTTCTCTTGCCGGGCGCAACTTCTGCGCTGCAACGGGTGGGGTGGGGTGGGGGCAGCTGGCCCGATCGGCGCACACCTTTTCCCCCCCACTCCTCCTCCTTCAAACCAACACGCCGCCTCCTGGACGGGCCCGCACAAAATGGAGCTCTTTTTAAAGCCCCTTGCGGGGAGGTTGCTAAAACCTCACGCCTATATAAAGTCTTGGCTGGAGTGGATTGGCTCGTTTGAATTGCGTCACGGTGGAGAAGCCCCGCCCCTGGAGTAGCAGAGCCCCTTGGAAACTCCGAGGAGTAGGTGGCTTGAAGAGGATCTGGGGTTATAGAGTGGCCTGGTTGAATTCAATCTTCTTCCTCCCCCAAAGAAGCCAGGCGGGAATGTTGGGGTTATGGAGTGGCTCTCTTGGGATCTACAGTGTTTGGGGGGATCTGGTTGGGGGAAACCAAGAACGCTCTACCTTTTTCCAGCTTGTAATCCAATCTGAACCAATGAGGCCTACTCTTCACTCTACTTTCGAGTCTCCAGACTTGGGAATTCTAAGATTTGTGGACTTCAGCTCCCAGAATTCCCCAGTCGGGTC